TTGATCCACCTAATTTTAGAGTTTGTATTTCCACCATGCTGTGTTCATTTTTGTGGTCTCCTATGGTCTAATGAATCATCGCACTAGTATTTTGTTGTATTTTGGTATGATGCCATAATTGTTTGTGGAAGAGAGCTTATAATGATGTTATGATATCTGGTAGAAGAAAGCTTATCTTGTTTTCTGCATTAGGTTTCTTGCCTTTCTCCAGGTATTGCTAGTTTTCTTGATTTCATGTTGGACACATGCTCTTCACGGTTAATTGGTTTTATCTTGCTCCGTTTCTATTGCTTTTTAATCATTAACGTTGAATCTTTTTCTTTTGTGTAGGATTATTCCATTTTCTTAAGTGCCCCTTCAAAAGTAGCTGTGCTGCCTACAGTGTGATTGCACGTCTGGAGTCGTGATGGAAACTGCTAGTGAGAACAATGAGCTGGTCCTTGCAGAACCACAACCTTACAATTCAGAAATACAAGCTAATAATTCAGAAACACAACCTAACAAGCGTAGGAAAAAGAAGTCCATTGTCTGGGAATACTTCACTATTGAAGCTGTCGGCGATGGGTGTAGAAGAGCATGCTGTAAACAATGCAAGCAATCGTTCGCATACAGTACAGGGTCAAAAGTAGCAGGCACCAGTCACCTCAAACGCCACATTGCAAAGGGAACGTGCCCAGTTGTTCTGCGTAATCATGAGAAGAATCAATTAAGCCCATACAGTGCACCTTCAAAGATGGGTGGAATTGGGGATACGCCAAAACGACGTTACAGAACTGCTAGCTTACCTTACTTTGCATTTGATCCAGATCGGTGCCGCCACGAGATATCTAGGATGATCATCATGCATGACTACCCCCTTCACATGGTTGAACATCCTGGCTTTGTTGCTTTCGTCCACAATCTTCAGCCTCGATTTGATATGGTGAGCTTCAACACTATCCAAGGGGATTGTGTGGCAACTTACCTTAGGGAAAAACAAAGCCTTCAGAAGGTTGTCGAAGGGATGGCTGGGCGTATCTGCCTGACACTGGACTTGTGGACTTCTTTCCAGACTGTGGGCTACGTGTTTCTAACCGGATACTTTATTGATAGTGATTGGAAGATGCATAGGAAGCTTCTCAATGTCGTGATGGAACCATATCCCGATTCAGATGCTGCTTTCAGCCACGCTATTGCTGCTTGCCTTTCTGATTGGAATGTGGAGGGCAAGTTATTTTCTGTCACCATAAACAAACCTCTGAGTGAAGCTGGGATCGATAATCTTAGAGCTTTACTCTCTGTGAAGAACCCCCTTGTGCTCAATGGTCAATTGTTGGTTGAGGATTGCCTTGCTCGTACTTTAAGCAGCATTGCCCAAGACGCATTAGGGGCTGCACAAGATACTGTCAAGAAAGTCAGAGATGCTGTGAAATATGTGAAAACTTCGGAATCCCATGAGGAAAAATTTCTTGAGCTCAAGCAGCAACTTCAAGTCCCTAGCACAAAGAGCCTAGCTCTTGATGACCAAACTCGATGGAACACGACATACGAAATGTTGCTGGCTGCTTCAGAGTTAAAAGAAGTCTTTCCTTGCTTGGATACTTCTGATCCGGACTACAAGCACCCGCCATCCATTGAGGAATGGAAGCAGGTTGAGACACTATGCACATACTTAAAACTCCTCTTCGATACTGCCAATTTCCTAACCTCACCCACTATACCAACTACAAACACATTCTTTCACGAAGCATGGAAGATTCAGTTGGAGCTGGCACGGGCAGCCACAAGTGAGGATCCATTCATCAGCAACCTTACAAAATTAATGCAAGGGAAATTTGATAAATACTGGAAGAGTTCATGCCTAATATTAGCCAGTGCTGTAGTTATGGATCCCCGGTTCAAGATGAAGCTTGTTGAATTTAGTTTCTCCAAAATATACGGGGAAGATGTTGCCACATATGTGAAGCTTGTTGACGAAGGAATTCACGAGCTCTTTCTTGAATATGTGGCACTTCCTCTGCCTCTGACCCCTACTTATGCGGAAGAAGTGAATGGGGGATCTGTCAAGGCAGAGGGCCCCCATGGAGAAAACCTTCCCTCAAGCAATGGACTTGGACTTGCAGACTTTGATGTCTACATTATGGAGACTACCAGCCAGCAATCGAGGTCAGAGTTGGATCAGTATCTGGAGGAGTCTTTGTTGCCTCGGGTCCATGAGTTTGATGTAATAGGTTGGTGGAAACTAAACAGGGTGAAGTACCCAACTCTCTCGAAGATGGCTCGTGATATTTTGTCAATTCCCGTATCAACTGTTGCACTTGATTCGGTATTTGATACCATGACCAAACAGATGGATCCCTACAGATGTTCCTTAAGACCAGAGACAGTGGAGGCCCTCATATGTGCAAAGGATTGGCTGCAGAGTGAATCAATACATACTTCACCTGCACCGCTGAAAATGGAAGTCCCAATTTAGGTTTTGGTTTTGGTTTTGTCTCGCCTTGTCTGTCTACGTTGGTAGGTAGCGATTTCGTATACCTCTAGCCTGTATTATTTCATGATCTTCCGTTGAAGACTGGAACTTTACTGTACCATAGTTTGGGATCATTTAGAAGCTTGGACGGTATTGAGTTAACTTCTTCATCTTCGGGGGTAGCCATATTGATAAAACACTATTCGAAACCAATACAAAATTAATTGGTTAAGGCTCATTATTTCTCGACATAAACACAAAAATAACACAATCCGATGACACGAATTTGTCTGTGAGTTGTGTCCGGGTATATTGCAGTAATTTGTCTATTGCAGTAAGCATTGGATTGCCTGGTCTGAAGCAAATTATAGAAAAGGGTGTTTGTATATGATCAAACAGGTATGGAATTGTTACTTTGTAAATACATAAATCAATTTTATTTTTATATTTTTGCTAGGGATCTGATTTGAATCTTTTACATTTTTGTATTTTGGTCTTATCTGTTTTGGATTATGTTGGCTTGGGCTTGGGTAGGGACGGGGTCGGGGGTGAAGGCTGGGGATAGGGCAGGGGCGGAGATTAGAAATTTACTCGCGGACGGAAATGAAGAAGAAAATTATACCTGTTAACGGGGGTGGACCGGAGATGGATGAAGTTTTTTTAATCGGGTACGGGGATGAAGATTATACCCCCCGCCCCCGCTTCGATTCATTGATATCGTTATTCCTATACTTATAAGTGTAAGATTTTTTTATTAGAATAATATCAGATGCTACATTATTATATCAAAACATTAGATCAAATTTTAGAATTCCAATAATATTATTCTTTTGTTAAAAAAAAATATTCATGTAAATCTTTTTTTTTTTTGATCAAGATTTAAAGCATACGAACTAAAAACAATTATCAAACCATTGCTTTCTCTCTCTATTTTGAACACAAATAATATATTTTTTAATTGAGATACTAAATTATATGTGAAGAATTTTTTTTTCCATGTTCTTGCATTGCATAAAATATATTAGTGATGCTAAATTTAACAATTACTCTTGCAAAAAAAGAAATTTTAAAACTATATTAAAAAAAATCCTACTTAAGAGTGGTGTGATATAATAAAGATTAGGGTTTTTTGCATACTACACCTTGAAAGATTTTAAGATTCTCATTTTGCACCCTCAAAGATTAATGTTTTCTCATTACACATTCAATGTATCAAAACTATTGTAATGTAGCTCTTCTGTTAACCTATGTTATTTTTTCCATCAAATACCATCTCATTGTAACATTGACAGAATAACTAACGGAAAGTAAATAAAAGGGTCACATTGCAATATTTTGATACATTGAGGGTGTAATGTGAAAAATTTAATCTTTTAGTGTATAAAATAAAAATCATAAAATCTTTAAGATACAAAGTGCAATTTACCACAAGATCAATCATACTACCAATTAAAGATAATATCTTAGCAACATATTTCATACAAAAACTTTTATTAGAATTCTTGTTTTAGGCCTTTCATCATCTTAAGTCAACCCTAATCTGTGGTATTATCTCTGAATACCAGCAATCACAACGTTAACGTTAAAACACTTGTTTTGTCTTTTCCGACATATGTAACTCTTTGTCCGCGCACACAATATAATTTGGAAAAATCTCACCTTTCCCCACTGAAAGATAATAAAATTATCAAATTGTACCCCAAAAGATTAATTTTTCTAAATTGCACCCTCGAAGAAGTGAAAAGGTTGCAATTTGGTCTAACAACTTATTTCTATTAGGCGTCCATCTGTTTTGTGATCACATGCAAAGCACGTGACTATATGCAAGGGTTTTACTGTTAAATTACCTGATGAACTCCCATGTGACTTGAACATGGCAACACCTCGTGCAGAGAGAACGAAAAATTCAGGGTTTTTCATTCGCCTGGTTTGGTAGAGAAAGATCAAAGATCTTAGTATAGGGTTTTTCAATCTCGTAGTTTGGGATAGAAAGATTAAAGAACTTGATCTAGGGTTTTTCAATCGTGTGGTCTGGGTTGAGCATCTTGAAGAATAAAAAATGTCGTAGTTATTGAGATAAGTGATCAATGACTTACATCCTTGTTGCGATGCGCCATGCTATGGTAATCTTGTTTCCCGTGTGTTGGTTGTGTATTTTTTGTGTAATTGTGTTTGCATTGGGGGATTCATTGTGGGTTGATTGTGACATTGTGTTGGGACCATTTTTTATGGGAGGTTGTGTGTGCTATTATTTAAATTTTTTTTTGACATGTTTATGAATTGTTTGTTTGTGTCAAAGTCTCGGTAAATTATTGTTTGTGGACCTTTGTGTTTGTTTGTTTTCGGAGTCTTGCTCTTTTTTGTTTATGATTAATGGTTGTTTTGTAACATAGTAGGGTAAATGAAATAATGTGTGGCTTGTCGGCCTTTTGGTGGTATATGCAGATGATCTTTCTAGGTATTTTTCTATCCATTTGCATCATGGAGGTAGATTGGGCATTAAGAGTAACGTGATGCTGACAAGCTTTCTTTGATTTAGTTGGATAGTATGTTAAAGGATGTGGGATTGGGATACTCTAAGCTTACTAGATTCCACATTAGAACTGTTGATGGATGGAAAGTGTTAGAAATGGATCAGCAGACATTGGACATGGTTAATTGGGTTGATATGGACAGAGTCACTGATGTTTATGTTCAGCATAGTAAGCCAAATTTGTGTAGCCAAAGTCAAGTTGAATCAAGCTGTGATACAACATAGAAAGAAACTGGCATTAAGCCAGAACAAGTTAATGTGTAGTGTTCAAAAACATGTGATGCTGAGAATGCAAATGAAGAATCTGGAATTTTGATGAGAATGACTCGTACTCAGCAGGGTCGTCCTCTAAGTATGCAGAGTTTTTATGATAGTGAATACGACATGATTGATGATCAATTGTATGATAATTTTGTGGATCATTATGTTGAATTTGTTGGTGTTAACAAAGGGAAAATACTTGAGAAAAAGGAAGGGGTTGATGGTGTTAGAAGCACAATAATGGATGCCAATAATAAGTTTTATGGTGAAGGCTATGACACAAATGAGTTAGTCAGTATTAGTGGATCATCATCAGATGATGAGGAAGGAGGAAATTTCAAGAGACAAATGGTTAAGTATTCACACTTCAATGTTATGACTGACATGGTTGATCCACAACTTAAGTTTAGCCTTTTGTTCAAATATGCATTTGAATTTAGAGCTGCAGTTAGGCAACATGAAATCAAATAGGGCAAGGAAATAAAATTCATTAAGAATGACAAATGTAGAGTAAGGGTTGTTTGTAGGCCTAGTTGTGATTGAGTGATATATGCTTCCAGCAGGGCAGGTGAAAAGACCATACAAGTTAAAACATTAAATGGTGCCCACAATTGCAATAGATCTATCAATGTTAAGCACTCTAATGCCAATTGGATTGTAAATACATATGTAGAAAGGCTGAGATCCAACCTTACATGGCCAATGAAATCATTCAAAAAAAATTGTCCAGAAAAAGCACGTTCTAAACTTGGGCAAAAACAAAGTATACAGGGCCAAACATAAAGGGAGGACAATGTTAGTGGCACTGACAGAGCAATTCAGTTTCTTATGAGATTACTGTGAAGAGTTGAGGAGAACCAACCCAGATACAACTTGTATAATGAAAACCAAAGCTTAAGGAACTGGTTAAGTAAAGTTTAAAAGGTTATACATATGTTTTGGGGTCATTAAAAAATGGTTGTTGTATGGAAGCAAATCATTAATTGGCTTGGATGGTTTGTCATTTAAAGTACAATCAGTATGACATTTTATTACCAGCTTTTGGGATTGACCCCAACAGTCAAATGTTTCAAATAGCCTATGCAGTAGAGGAAAAAAAAAAGAAGTCTTAGAATTGGTTTTTGAAACTTTTAAAGCAGAAGCATATTTAACACACATGCATGGACTTTCATGTCAGATAAATAAAAGACAAGTTTAAATGCTTTATTTTCAATATGTTTTATAGTTGCATTTACTATTTTTCATAAATTAATTCATATAATTGTTTTTGGGGCTCTTAGATGTTGTAGAGACTCTTTTCCCAAATACAAAACATAGATTTTGTGTCAGACATTTATATAACAATTTCAAAGTAGACCACAAGGGCTTAACATTGAAGGATTTGTTATGGAGGGCTGCCATACTAGCAAGAGTTGTTGACTTTCACAATGTAATAGAGGAATTTATGAGTATTGATGAATCTGCATATAGGTGGTTGTGTGAAAGATTAGTTGTGAATTGGTCTAGGTCCCATGTCAGTACATTCTCCAAATGTGATATGTTATTGAATTATATGTGAGAGCTTCAAATGCTTATATTGTTGAGGCTAGGGTCAAGACTATCTTAACCATGCCTGAAAAAATTAGAGTATGGCGAATGGAAAGAATACATCGACAAAGATACTCCATTAAGAAGTACAAGGGTACTACCTGTCCTAGAATTCAAAAGAGAATAGAGGACATCAAAGTTGAATCAGTATCTCTCATACCAACATGGAATGGGGGATGAAAAATTTGAAGTGGTTGCGACGAGTGGAGACCAAAACACCGTCAATATAGAAGAAAGAACTTGTAGCTGTAGAAAATGGGATTTAATAGGAATCCTATATAAACTTGTAGTGTCTGCCCTCAAATTTTTAGGTCAGTTAACAAAAGACTTTGTGGGTGATTGGTGCAAGGTTGAGACCTTCCTTAGGTGTTACAATCAACTAATAAGCTCTATCAATGACAAGGAGGTGTGGATAAAGACAGGTTACACCACTCTATTTTCCCCTGATGTGAGCATAAGACCTGGCAGGCCTACAAAGGTTAGAAAGAAGGAGGTTGATGAACCTAGTACTGGTGTCAAGTTGAGGAGGAAGTACAAACCTATAATGTGTGGAATTTGTGGAAATTGTGGTAAAGTTGGCCACAACAAAAGGAGGTGCAAGTTCAAACAATCCAATGTTGTAGACACAATCACAATACAGACTGCAAACAATGTCCCAGTAACTTCTCTGAAATTCTGATCCCTTTGAAATTCACATATTCATTACTAACCTATCTTTTATCTTTTATCATTAGGTGGGCAACATGACAAATGAATCAGCAACAAACAACCCCAAATCTGCAACACCTAATGTAACAAAAGATAGACAGAAATTGCCTTTAATACGTAAAATATAATTTTTAGTTGTGTACATGCCCAAAATATGCATGTTCAATGATTGAGCTAATGCTTGTTATTCATTAACATATTAGAGGAGGAACAATGGATCAACTCCACAATCTAATTGTACAACTGTATCAACACCATAAAATATGCCAAATTTGCCTATGAAGAGGCCACCAGCATCTGCTTCAAATAATTCTACTTGGAAGCTATCCCCAGTTGCTACATCACAAAGTGTTTGGAAGACATCCCCAACTACTACATCACATAGCGCTTCAAATCAATATGCTTGGAGGCCACCACAACTGCTTTAGGTAAATCAATTTGGAAGGCACCAAGTAATGCATCACACTGTGGTTAAAGACGAGCAGGTAGGGCGCCAGTGAACTTGTTTATTCCTCCCATGCCTATCCTCCCACAGAATACCAAGTTTACACCAGCTCATACACAAGAGTGTAACTCATCCACTATCAAGTTCAAGAAAAACACAGCAACGGGGACACAATGAGGGGACTTTTGGGACTTTTGTTAGAAGTATTCTCCATTTAATGAGATACTTGTAATGCAGCTGAACTGCAACCCTTTTTGGAATATGTATATACACTCTTTTTGGAATAAGTTACGAATTAGCATCTTTTGAATTATATTACTACAAGCAAGAAAAAGCAAATACTTTGCAAACAACACTAATTTATTAGCTTCCAAATGACAAACATTGATCGTCACATTACACTAATATTCCATTACAAAGATCATATTCCATATAAAAGAGTTCTAAGTTAGCAAAACATTGCATTAGTTTCCAACAACCTCCAATCGACACACATTCACAATAGATGCATTGACAAAATCTCCCCATTTGAAACATCCCCAACTGATTCATATTTAGCAGGTTGACTCATGAAGACACATATGATCACCATGATAAACCAAAAACCAATAATGCAACACCAAAGTATCCTCACCCCCTTACTTTGGATTGTTCCAACTATTCTTCTAAAAGAGTAACGCGATGCAATAAACCCAGTATTATTTGGCATGATAAGTTACATATTAGGGGGTCAATTCATACAAAGTAACCACACTTACCTGTAATCCAAAGAAAAATTTACAAAATCACTCAAAATTGATAATGATTTCCCAGTAATACTAGAAAAATGGGTTGCTAAATGTCCAAATAGGAATAACAACTTCTAAAGAATAAAAAAAACCTGGGTATCAAATAGGAAAAACATTTTACAATGTTATTTGCTCATGTGATGAATCGTCTTCTAGGGTTTAACTTCGTCCAAGATATCTTCGTTTTGGTCCTTCGACCACAGTAAAACACTGTTTGCATTTCTCCTTCTTCTTCTGGATCTTTGTATATCTTCTCCTCCAAATCACAAGTGGTTTAGAGTTTTTATGCAATGAAAATGACAATTCTCAGCTCCAACTGGTGTAATTTGATAGTAAAACCCTTGTATATAATCACGTGTTTCATATGTGATCACAAAATAGGTGGATGTGTAAACAGAAATAAAGTGTTGGTCTAGATTGCAATCTTTTTACTTCTTCAAGGGTGTAATTTGGTAAAATTAATCTTTTGGGGTGCAATTTGAAAATTTTGTTATCTTTTAGGCACAAAGTGAAATTTTGTCATATAATTATCAAAACAAGTGTAATTTTTTGGACCATAGAGAATCTAAAAAAAAAACTATAACACTATTCCCAGTAAATCATCTCACATTATATGTGTTTTTTTTTTCTGCATTAGGATCTCACGTTACATATACAAATTATTGATTGTTGATATATCATATTAAATTTTTATTAAAATATCGTACTGTTAAATTTATTTACTAAATTATTTTTGTTTTTAATATATTGTATTTTTAAAATTTATACTATATTATATAGCAAATAAATCTGGTAGAAGAGACTTTGGAAGACATTCCCTCTCTATTTTCTCAATTTTGATTTATTTTAATGTATTCAATCTAACTATATTTCACCATTCTTGGTATTTGACCAAAACTCTCTAATTGTTATTAATGAAAGTTTATTGGGTAATCAATGTGAGCATCCTATATAAAATAGAATTATATTGAAAGAGTTTTAATATACCATGAATAAGTATTTTAGACATGTGATAGGAAACATAAAAATCAAACTGTATTTGAATGAATTTGGTTTCAATATTTTATTCCTATAGATAAGATTGAGTTATATATAATTAGTTATAAGATGATCAATTTTTCAATGAATACTACATCGATGTAGGTTTTTGTTGTATCAAATCATGCTGTATTTTTATGTCATGTCTTTATGACATAATCACCCTCCACCTAACTAATAACTCTGCATTTAAATATTGTGCGTGCAAGATCCTGCACAATATAAAAAACGAGAACAGATCTCTCCCTTGGTGAACTTCGAATGTGCCGGTTGAGTGACCAACCACGCCGCTTGGAACAGCCTGCGAGGTCTGGTGGTAACCAGGAACGGCAACGGGAGACCCTGGGTGAGCGGGAGAACGATCCAGTAAGGCTGAAAGAGGATCCTGGAACAAAGAAGAACAAGTTAGAAGGGCGCCGGAGTGTTTTCCGGCGTATCCCCTCCGACGATCTAGTCAGTCTTTGAGAGAGAGAGAGAGGAAGGAGAAAACACTGAGAAAAATGTATTGTAGTAGAGAGTTTGTGATTGCATACCCGTCTTGCCTTTTGCAAGGAGTATTTATACCTTAAAAGCTCATGATTGCTGTCAGTGTGGTCAGTAAGTGATCATTAGGTGCAGGTTGCGTGTGCATTGATTCTGATGAGGAATGTCTTCTCTAATTAACTGCTCGGGGTCCCGAGCAATCAATGCTGGATCATCGAGATGCCGACGGTACAATGTGCTCCTCTCGGGGAGGATGCAATAAATGCTCTGTAACAGGAGCATTTATTGCCTTTCATTTCCGAGCCTTACCGCATTGAATGCGGTCTCATCAAAGGGATGGTGCAATTAATTATTTGCTTTCCCAAAGCGCGTGTCAGCAACAGCATGCGGTTTGTCTGTCTTTGATGTGATATCATATGCCA